GTTCTGAATTAGAGGGTTTACCCCTCGAAACATGTAAGCTGCAATGGACGCTATAAGATCTTCCTATGCTATCTATTGAACGGTGTGGATCTGGAGGCTGTCTCATCTGTATTTAATGATATACTTGTCATTGTCATGCATTTGTGAGGATATCACTTGTTTTATTAATGGAATAAAATTGTTTAACGGTAATGCGCTAGGCCGGTGGGTCCACTCAATGTTGTATTTTTATAGGACTGACAGGAGCCAGACCATGCGTGCAGGAAATCCAGCTGCACGGGTATCAAAGGTTTTTCTACATACTATGCTGGAAACACAAACTCTAATTATTATGCTAATGCAATACTCAGGTATCAGCGTTGCCTACAAACTATTGTACCATACATCCACTGCCACTATGCTAAAAAATCTATATTCCTTGAATCCAACAATCGTTTTACAAAATCTCATAAAAGCAATCTTTTTCCCAAAGCATTCCGTTTCTTGGCTTAGATCCTTCTTTTCTCCTGATTATCACTGTGAAGTCAATAAGAATTAATGACAGATCTGACATTAATTATTATGAACAAGGTCAGGACACACATAGCGGAAGCTGTATAAATTCAATTGCAATCACACGCTCTCCTAATAGTTCCCCTGAACTTGTATAGCGCACAGGGCTAAGAATATTTTTTTAGAGAGGGAAATACAGATGTATGTGAGCTTTTCAGCAAAAATAAATATTTTTAGAATTTATTTATTTAACTGAACTTAAGCGATCTCGAGAAAATTAAATTTCATTTACATTGTACTCCAGCCAAATACTGTATTTATAAAGGTCTCTTGATCCACTGTGAAAAGCAACCTGCCTTGCAGAATTGATCCACTTAAACTTGAACGGTAGTGGAAATAATGAACCTGAAGACGTTTCTGACACTTATGAATACCACCCACAGTCATATCTTGAAAAAGTGGGTGTATTTTCATCATTTTTTAATAAGAGTCATAAGTAGTTTATTATTTTTAATAAAGGGCCTGCAAAAAAACTAATTTAAAAAAAATAATAATTTATGAGTACACTAAAACTGCATGGGTCAAATGAGCACAACACATAAATTGGTTCAGAATATTAGAACTGTACAAAATATAGTGATTGTCTAGATTCCACATGAGTGAGCCCAAAACAATAGACAAGAGCTGGAAATTAGCATAGGAGTCAATGTCGGGAAATGCAGGGAGCATCCCAGTCAGCCAGGAAGTTGCAGGGAAGTGCAGGTGTGAGGTTAGGAAACCCTGTCAACGAGTAGAAAATCCACACTACCAGGTGAATGTGACTGGACCAGGCAGCTGACTTTGTCAAACTATGATTTAAGGCCTCATTCAACATGGACATACAGCCCTTGCACAGACGTACGCTGTAGTAATATGCTGCAGTACACCCATGTAAACAATGCCTTAAAGCACAAGTGTCAAACACAAGGCCCTCCAGGCCAATTCATGTAGCCCTCAGACTTCCCCTGCAGACCCCCCTCATCTCCACCTTGTCTCAGCAGTCGGCAGAAGGGAGGAGGACAAAACTCCTCCGCCAAATCCTGCACTTCTGAATGCACCCACAAGAGGCTCATCTCTGCAATGCCCCACCAATGGTCTCAGCAGTTGGCAGCAAAGAGGAGGACAGAACTCCTCCTACAGATCCTGGGCTTCTCTGTGCAGCTGCACCACCCCCTCATCTCTAACTTCCCTGGTCTAGGCATTCAGAAGACTCCATCCCTCTAGTCCTCCTCCAGACCCTGCACCTTCTGCTTCCCAGCTCCTTCTCCAACCTCTTTCTGGCAGCAGCAAGCAAGGGGGGTGTATTGTGATGTAAGGGAGGGTGGGGTGTTCGGGACATCTAGTCTTACAGGTGCAACTGGCCCTTTGTGGGCAACCATAATGTTGATGCGGCCCGCCATGAAAATTAAGTTTGACACCCCTGCCTTAAAATATAAGTTCACCTTTGGGAACATGTTTGACCTGTTTTTAGGGTGGAATATATAACATATTCCTATAGCTGCAGACGCCCACCTCCCCTCAGGATAATACGGGGAGAAGTTTCCCCGTACTATCAGTCAGATCTGAAAACAGCGCAGCCATGTGGGGCTCCGCCCACATGGCCATGTTATTCATTCACGGACTTCCGTTGACAAATGAACTGCAAGTCCCGAGAGCCTTAGCAGCTGTGGACTTGCAGTTTTCAATGAAATACCACGGTGCTGTGAAGTGCCGTGGTAGTTCATTGAAGCTTCCTGTCAGAATGTCTGCTTGGCTGTACATCCCGTACAGCAAGAAGATATTCTGACAGGTCTGCAGGAGACCTGCATGGCAACAGTGATCTACTGATCGCTGGTGCAATGCTTTCCAGGCTCCTTTGAACAAAAATAGCAAATGCATATTTTTTTACCTGCAAAAAATGGGCATGTATTATTTTTGTTCAAAAAGGTGAACTTATCCTTTAAGGTAAACTTCAGTCAGACATTAAGGGGCTATTCACACCAGAATTGCGGTTCGGGAAACCCACACCTCGTTCAAAATGCACTGCAGTTGTGATCTACAATGGGTGTCAAGGTTAAGCAAAAAACACTCCAAACTCAGGTCACAAATGCAATGCATTTGCCTACACCAGATTGCTCGGTACAGAAGTGCCATGCAATGTGGTTGCAGTGAGTTTCCAAAAGTAGTGAATGTACTACTTTTGGTGTGGTGCAGTGCGATCTGAGCCCATTCAAAATGAATTGGATTGGATTTACAGGTAATTTTTTATGTTTGATGAAATCCAATGAAATTTAATGAATATAAATTATTTTTTGCTAGAAAAGTACTTAGAATCCTCAATATCTTTTTTGAAAGCAGAGGACCGGGAGAATAAAATAGTGGTTGTTGGTCACATGATATGTGCACAGCCGTTTGTCAATGGTTAAGCTTCAGAAAAAAATACATTAAAATGAATTTTCGTGCAAAGACAATATAATGCCCATTTCAAGGTTCAAAATTGCGCATGCCAGTGAAATGTCTTCAAACTACATACCTACATTTTTTCATGGGTGATGAGTTAAAAGCCTTTTCAGGAATGCCTTCCACGTTACACCATAGGAATACAATAACTACCTCTAATTTTCTGTGCCTTTACTGAAGCAGTGTTGTCATATGTAATGTAATCATCTCTCTGTACTTATATTGATAATATTTAGTAGAAATTATTGGAAATGAAAAGCCTTTACAGGTAATCCTTGTAGAGTTAATGGTTAATCATAGTCCTAGAATTGTTGCTCTCACTTGAACCTTCGCAGCGATAACTAACATGTGTGGTGCAATCGCTTTTTACATTAATTTGCTGGACTTACGCTGCGTTTGCATTTGCGTGTATGCGTGGCAGGGGGTGGGGGTGGTTTTACTTTTTTTTTTAATTAATATGTATTTTTTTTTTACACTTTCTTGGACTTATTTGTTTAACTTTGTGCTATCATAAGGGGCTAACGGGCACACTATGCGATAGCATGAGCAGGTAACAACAGGTACTCTTTAAGGAAACATCGGAGTCCATTAGACCCCCTGATGTTTCCTCTGGCCTTCAATGCAGCTAATCAAGCACATATCGTACTTGATTATCTGCTTTCCTGTGTAGCATACAAGTGCCATCTCACATTGTATTCCATTGTGAAGTAAATGAAAGACAGGCTTCAGCTCAGATTGCCACCCATCGATTATGCTCCTCTGACAATTAAAGTGGTTGTAAAAGCTCAAGGTTTTTACCTTCGTGCATTCTTCTGCAAGCAGCTCTCCCCCACCCACCCTTATACTTACCTGCTGCTGTCAATCACAGCCATTGAGGAGGGAGCGGGGGTTGGGGCAGAGCCACGCTCTGTATGTCTTATGGACACACCGAGCCAACTTGGGAGCAAGAACACTCGAGTGCCCCCATAGCAAGCTGCACTTAGCAGGGAGGAAGAGCCAGGAGCACTGGCGAGGGACCCGAAAAGAGCGGGATCATGGCTGCTCTGTGCAAAAGCATTGTACGGCGTAAGTATGACATGTTTGTTGTTTTTTTCAAAATGAAAATGTATCCTTTACAATCACTTCAATTATATTGTATTACCTGTAGGCCATTTGGAACCCCCCAGAAGCCTGGTTGAAAACCTCCCAGTCAGCAATCTCTACATTCTATCTTGTTGCTAAGATATAAAAACCATTGTTTTTCACTACTGTAATCCTGCTAATGAGTTTACAAATGTTTTATGTTCTAACAAGACAGGATGTGGGTATTGCTGACAGAGTTTTTTCGGGCAGGTCTCTTGGAGGGCTCCCATGGCCTACAGGTATAACAATAGAATCAATGAACATTTTAAAAAGCTGCACAGTTCTTTAATATCTACTGGGCCTCCCTGACTGGCATAGGCTATTTTCTGTAAAAAGTGAACTTAGTCTTTAACCACTTCAATACCAGACACTTATACCCCCTTCCTGCCCAGGCCAATTTCCAGCTTTCAGCGCTGTCACACTTTGAATGACAATTGCGCGGTCATGCAACACTGTACCCATATGAAATTTTTATCATTTTTTTGAGACAGATAGAGCTTTCTTTTGGTGGTATTTAACCAACTCTGGGATTTTTATTTTTTCTTAAACAAACCAAAAAACCACTGAACAGTTTGAAAAAAAAAAAAAACGTTTTTTTTTCTTAGTTTTTGTTATACAATTTTGTAAATAAGTGATTTTTATCCTTCACTGATGTGCACTATTGAGGCTGCAGTGATGGGCACTGATAGGCTGCACTGATGGACACTGATAGGTGGCACTGATGGGCACTGATGAGGAGGCACTGGTAGGTTGCACTGATGGGCATTGACAGGCATCACTGATGGGCACTGAAAGGCAGCACTGATACCGGACACTGATACGTGACACTGATATATGGCACTGATAGGCAGCACTGACTGGCACTGATAGGCGGCTATGACTGGCACTGATAGGCGGCACTGACTGGCATTGTTAGGCGGCACTGACTGGCACTGATGCGCACTGATAGGCGACACGGATTGGCACTGATAGGTGGCTGATTGGCACTGATTGACATTGATAGGTGGCACTGACTGGCAGTGATGGGTGCCATTGAAAGGCAGCTCAGATGGGCACTGATATGTGGCATTGATGTGCACTGGTATGCACTGATATGTGGCATTGATGGGCATGTGGCACTGGCACATGGCACAATGAGCACTGACAGGTGGCACTTCTGGGGCCACACTGATCATCAGTGCCCTGATGATCAGTGTACATGTCCCCTCCGCGGAAAGCCAATTACCGGCTCTCCTCTCCTCTCGATAACCGGCATTTCCGTGTTTACATGTGATCAGCTGTGATTGGACACAGCTGATCACATGACCGAGCTGAAATCTTCGGCTCTTTCCGTGATCCGCTGTGTCCGAGGGACACAGCGCACCGGTGATCGCGCGCGCGCGCACTCCCTGAGCCGCGCATGCGCAGTGATATGACGTCCTATCAGAACGAGAGAACCACCTTGCGCCCGTCGTTGTACTATAGGGCGGGCGGAAGGTGGTTAAGACCTCTGTCAGTATTTTTATTGTTGTCTTTGTGCCCGGTATGTAGATTTCTCCTCAGTTTCTGTCCTGGTGATACCCTGTATGGCAGGCTGTGACAGGGATGCTGAAGGACAGGAAATGAAGAAAAATCATCCCAGCAGGGACACACATATCAATTATAACCCTTGACTGGATTGGGTCTTTACCCCGTAACACATGTCAATCCCAGGCAATAAAGTTCTGTTTTAGAGAATGTAAAGCTACGTTATGGACAAGCTTTAAATCACAGTGAAATCAACAAATTTCTCTGTGTTTTTTCCCCTGAAACCCAAGAGACTTCTACATCATAGCATGCCTTTAGTCAAGCATCATATTTGACCAACCTTCAGTACATGTTGAAGTGGCAGTGTATTAAATTTATTAGCATGTTTAAAAAGAAGAAATGAAATAACACATTCATATCTGCACTTGTATAACCATAGAGTTCTAGATGGAAGCTAGGGATAAAAAACAATTCAGCTGCAATGATTTATATAGAACGTTGCCAAGAAAAGAACACAGATCAGATGTGAGCGGGGAACCCAATCAAAAGGGGGAGGGGACTAAAAATGCATTAAAAAAACCAGAAGGTTCCCCTTTGGTTTTTTCTTAATGCCTTCCCCCTTAAAGGGCCATTGAGGAACAGAGGTAAACAGTGCTCCCGGAAAAAAAAACCCTTTTTAAAAAGAGCGACAGTTTTGACCAATTTTTTTTTTTTGGGGGACGGGAACCTCTTTTTTTTAAAGTGGAACATGGGAAAAAAATTAAAAAGGAGTTTTTCTTCAAAAGGGGGGTTTTAAGTTTTGCAAAATTAAATTTTAAAAAAAATTTGACCCCTTTGCAAAAAAAAAAAATGTGAAATTTTTTTTCTGAGGGAAAGCATTGCGCTGCACGAGGTGAGTGAAAAAACCCCCTTGATTTTCTGAGGCCGGAAGTTTGGGATTGTCAGAATTTGGGGGGGATAAAGGGAAAATGGGGGTATGGCCACCCCCGGCTCTTAAAAAAACCAAAATGTTTTTAAAAAGAAAAAAAAATAAATCATTTTAAAAAATGGCAAAAATTTTTTGTTTTGGGTCTTAAGACAAAGACGGGGGGCATGGAAACAATGTTTTGGGGGAAAAACCCTTTTAAGTAAAAGAACCTTTAGTTGAAAAAAAGGAGTTCTGGTTTTGGCGTGCTTCCGGAAAGGGCCTCCCCTGTGGCAGGGTTTTCGGGACCGGGAAAGGTGGGGGGGTGCGCCTACCCCATGGTTTTGTTGGATTGGGGCCCCAATGACTCTTTCTAGAAGGCTTTTGGGGAGAAAAGGGGACTTGGGGTATTCCCAAAATTTTAAATAATGGGGGGGGGGTCGGGGGTTTTTCCCATATTGCCCCGGAAATTAATGGTTTTTTATTTTCCAAAAAACCCGGATACTGCTCCCAACGCCAAAAAAAACCCTTTTTTAAACTAACAAAAATGGTGGGAAAGACTAAATTTATGAAAATTGGGGGGATTTGATGGGGGTGGCAGGAAGCTTTTTATAAATTTTGGGGTAATGTAAGGATAAAAGGGGGAATTCTTAGGGTATTACAAATATTGGATTAGCATTAAACCAACCAATTTGAATTGAAACTTTTCTTTATGTGCCTGTTCCCCAATTTTTAATCCCTGCAAAATTAAGGGGGTTTTAAAAAGGCGCCCAAATTTTGGGCGTGCGGTTTGTTTTTTGGGGAAAAAGGCCATTATTTTAGGCGTTTAAAGTTGGAACGGGAAAAAAAACCCTAGAATTGTCCAAACCCTATAAAAACCCGGAAAAAACCTATTTATCTTTGCTGTGAAATGGCTTAACGCACGAAAATGTGTGAACGCCTTAACCGTTTGTTTTTACCCGCCCCCAAAACTTTTGTTTTTATTTTTATTCTCAAATGTTTTTTCCTGCCCCTGAGGGGCCCTATTAAGCAAAAAAAAATTTTAAAGGTTAAAAAAATAAAAAAATGGAAAAAAATTCAAAAAAGGGTAATCGGGGTTTGGGTTTTTTAAGACAGACGCTAAATGCCTGACCTCAGTATTTAATACATACCAAACTGGCTAACATGATGTTTTTTTTTTTTTTTTTTTTTTTTACTTGGGGCAGATCAGGACCTAGTAACTCATCCACCATACCAACTGCTTTTCACTGTCCTCCACCTCTCTGCAATCTCTTCCATTGGCCTGCCGCTCACTCAATGAAATGAAATTCGAAAATACTAACAACTTACAAAGCCTTCCACAACTCGGGCCCCAGTTTACATCACTAACCTGTCGCCAAAAAATCAAAATACAACCAAATCCATTCTCCAAGAACTCCAGCTCTGTAGCTCCTTGTCATCTCTTCCTCATGCTCACTTCCAGACTTCTCCTGAGCCTCTCTCATCCTCTGGAGCTCCCTATCCCATTCTGTGTACTTCCAGGCAATCCTGAAAGCCCTTCTCTTTGGAGAAGCCTATCCTGCTCCACCTAACACACTGTACCTTTATTTTAATCAAGCTCATCCCTTCACAGTTATCACATTTTGTATCAGAAAAGGGAAAAACACAGAAGCGCATCTAAGTGTAGACGATGTATACAAATGTATTATTACAAGCAATAACAATTGGCAACTAAATGTGAGTTGCAAATTGTTATTGCTTTTAATAATACATTTGTAGATAACATCTACACTTAGAGGCACTACTGTGTATTTCCCCTTTCTTCTACGTGTACTGGAAGTTGCTTCTGCTCCCTACAAAAGGCTTGCCCTTAGTGGATGGACAATTGCATTGAATAACTCTTACCCATGGGGCTATTACCATTGTATTTTATAACTGTCAGTGCTCAGCTTCTTTTGTGCCTTTTTTTAACTGTTTATTACATTTTTGTATCACTTGCCCCCCCCCCCCTTTTTTTTTAGATCGTAAGATGTGAACTGTGGACTGTTCCAGTCTGCCACTATCTCTGCTCATACTGTTTACATGGTCGTCAATTGTGCACCCATAGTCTGTCCTAGTCTACAACCTTGTGCTATGTGTTCCTGCATGGTCTTTGCTGTGCACCCATAGACTATTCTGGCTTACAACTACTTATGCTTTGTGTTTCTGCATGGTGCTACTGCTATTGATAGGAAAGCATCCTCTGCAAGTTGTGCTTGGCTTTTTGAAGTATCCCAAACCCCTCTACCCTCTCCTGTTTTATCAAGCAATAAATATTCAAAAAAAACATCCCCTAGACTGCTCAATGAGCAAGAGTGAATGGAATGTTGCTGTGTGCCTGGCTGTCTCTGCATGGTGTGGGGAAAGAACTACAATGGCTTCTACGGGGGTATCGCTACATAAGGGTAATCTGTCTATCTAAAGTCAAAACACTGTGACAATACGTGAGCATTACTAGAATTCAGAAAATGTAATACAGTTTCCTCCTCCTTCCTTCTCACACTTGCTAGGGTTTGGGGCACTCTTCTGGGGACACAATCTGGGACAATCAGGCAGTGTAGAGATTGGCTGGAGAATAAAAACAAGCACATTCCAAACGTGTCTGAATATCTTTGCACAACTGACCAGTGACCATTTCATGTTCTATAGTATAAAGGAACCAGTCCTTAGTTTTAAGATGATTGCAGTCACTATTGCCATCTCAGTTTATAAGAACAACAATAAGCAGATTTGTCACCACTGATTGTTCTTGATGAAAGATGCCATCCATTATAATATATTACTGTACTCAATGTGGTCAGTGGAGCAGCTATATATTCAGTATATACACTCACCGGCCACTTTATTAGGTATACCTTGGGGGGCATGGCTGAGCCAGGCTGTGTGTGTTTACAGACATATGGCTTGCTGTGTGGGCACCTGCAGGAAAGGAATGTTGGCGGGGGATTCCAGAAGTGAAATGCAATTCCATTGTACAGAGCAGGTAAGTTTAAAATTTTTTAAAATTTTATTTTAAAAAAATTGCTTTATAAGCACTTTTACCCACCTCCCGCCCACCATATAAGGAATTGATGGGTGCAAGGCGGTTCTCTCGTTCCGGGAGGACATCATATGACGTCCTCCCACAATAACTGTGCGAGCACGCCCCCGGGGGTGTGCAGCGTGGCGATTGGTGGTGCATTGTGTCCCTGGGTAACAGATCAATGGAAAGAGCCGAAGACATCGGCTCTGTAATGTGATCAGCTGTGTCCAATCACAGCTGATCGCATGTAAATAAGGAAATGCCGGTTATCGGCATTTCTCTTCTCACAAGCTGTCACGCTGACAGAGGAGAGCCGGTAATCGGCATTACTCAGAGGAGACATGTCCACTTATCATCAGGGCACTGATGATCAGTGTCCCTGATGAAAAGAGTAGCCCCTGCAGTGCCACCTGTCAGTGCCCATCAATGCCACCTGCCAGTGCCCATCAGTGCCACATCAATACCACATATCACTGCTTACCACTGCACATCAATGCCACATATCAGTGCCCATCTGAGCTGCCTTTCAGTGCCACCTATCAGTGCCAGTCAGTGCCACCTATCAATGCCAGTCTGTGCCACCTATCAGTTGCAGTCAGTGTCACCTAACATTGCGCATCAGTGCTGCCTATCACTGCCGCCTAACAGTGCCACCTATCAGTGCCATATATGAGTGCTGCCTTTCAGTGCCCATCAGTGATGCCTGTCAATGCCCATCAGTTCCACCTACCAGTGTCACCTCATCAGTGCCCATTAGGGCCACCTATCAGTGCCCATTACTGCAGCCTCATTAACGCACATCACTGAAAGAGAAAAATCACTTATTTACAAAATTTTATAACAGAAACGAAGAAAAACCTTTTTTTTGTGAATGGGTAGCGGTACCATGTACCCGATATTCATTCACATGGGGGGGGGGGGCAGAGATCTTGGGGGCCCCTTGCTAAAGTGGGGCTTCCAGATTTCGATAAGCACCTCGCCTGCAAACCCCCAAAACCACAGCTCAGAGTTGGGGGAGCCCCCCTGCCCCAAAGCACCCCCCCCCATGTTAAGGCATGTGGCCTGGTATGGTTCAGGAGGGGGGGCACTCGCTTGTCCCCCTCCTTCCCTGACCTGCTGGGCTGCATGGTCAGATAAAGGTCTGGTATTGATTTTGGGGGGGACCCCAGGCCATTTTTTTTTAAATTTTGACGTGGGGGTTCCCCTCAAAATCCTAACCAGACCCAAAGGGCTGGTATGGATGGGGGGGGACCCCGCAACATTTTTTGTTGCCGGCTTTTTTTTTTTATTACCTTAAACTGTCAGTGGGAAACCCCACTGACAGCTGATTACTCATAGGTTGTTAGGGACTTGGTGGTCCATTTTTCTCTAATGGCTAATGAAAAAGCCAAAGCCCCAAAATGACTGGCTGCTGGGAGATCTATAATTGTTGGGGTGGATTTATTGTTGCTGGGGGGTTATTGTGTTGCAAGAGTCTCTGTTGTTGCCTGGGGAGGTCTATTGTTGTTGGGAGAGTCTATTGTTGTTGGCTGCAGGGGATCTATTTTACTGTTTTTCTTGTCATCATTAACAAATTCCACACAAATTACTTAGCACCACAAAAGGATTCTTGGTTCTGTATTCTCCAAAAGGGTGGGACTGAGAGGTGGGTAAGGGGTGGAACCAAGGAGTGGAACAAGAGTGCTCAGAGGTGGGTAGGGGATGGAAACATGGGGCGACTCGAAAGGGGAAGTTCCTGCACCTCATCTCAGAAAAAAAAGCCCTGTATATTAGAATATATACAGTTTTTGTGTTCAAAATAATAGCAGTGTGTTGAAAAAAGTGAATAAAGCAGGGGTCTGCATTGTGCATGACATTCCATGTAGATAAAGTCAGCAACCAGGTGAATGTAAAAAAAAATATATTTTTATTTCGTCAAAGGAGTACATATGTTCCAAACAGAGCCAACAATAGTGCGTTTCAGCCTGAACCATGAGTAAGGCCTTGACAGGCTGAAACGCATTAGTGTTGGCTCTGTTTTCAACATACAGTTGTGTTCAAAATAACAGCAGTGTGTTGAAAAAAAGCGAATAAAGCTCAAAATCCTTCTAATAGCTTTTATATCCATACACACAAATGCATTGGGAACACTACACATTCTATTCCAAATCAAAAAATGAAGAAAAATATATCAGATTTCTGTTGTTCCTCTAAAAAAATTGAATAAAAGTGAATATTAGACTTCAAAAAAATAGCAGTGTTTGTATTCTCCTTTACAAACTCAAACATTCACTATATAACTGAAAAATGTTTGAAGATTTTTCTTTCCTTTGAATCACTTAATGAATATTTAGTTGTATAAGCACTGTTTCTGAGAACTGCTGTACATCTGTGTTGCATGGAGTCACCCAACTTCTGGCACCTGTGAACAGGTATTCCAGCCCAGGATGATTGGACTACATTCCACAGTTCTTCTCTATTTCTTGGTTTTGCCTCAGAAACTGCATTTTTGATGTCACCCCACAAGTTTTCTATTGGATTAAGATCCAGGGATTGGGCTGGCCACTCCATAACGTCAATCTTGTTGGTCTGGAACCAAGATGTTGCACGTTTACTGGTGTATTTGGGGTCGTTGTCTTTTTGGAACACCCATTTCAAGGGCATTTCCTCTTCAGCATAAGGCAGCATGACCTCTTCAAGTGTTCTGATGTATTCAAACTGATCCATGATCCCTGGTATGCAATAAATAGGCCCAACACCGTAGTATGAGAAACATCCCCATATCATGATGCTTGCGCAACCATGCTTCACTGACTTCACAGTGTACTGTGGCTTGAATTCAGTGTTTGGGGGTCGTCTGACAAACTGTCTCCGGCCACTAGACCCAAAAAGAACAATCTTACTTTCATCAGTCCACAAAATGTTGCGCCATTTCTCTTTAGGCCAGTCAATGTGCTCTTTAGCAAATTGTAACCTCTTCAGCATGTCTTTTTTTCAACAGTGGGACTTTGCGGGGGCTTCTTGCAGATAGCTTGGCTTCACATAGGCGTCTTCTAATTGTAACAGTACTCACAGGTAACTTTAGACCTTCTTTGATCTTCCTGGAGTTGATTGTTGGCTGAGTCCTTGCCATTTTGGCTATTCTATCCATTCGAATGGTAGTTTTTTGCTTTCTTCCACGTCTTTCAGGTTTTGGTTGCCATTTTAAAGCATTTGCGATAACTTTAGCTGAGCAGCCTATCATTTTCTGCACTTCTTTATATGTTTTCTGCTCTCCAATCAATTTTTTAGTCAAGGTATGCTGTTCTTCTGAACAATGTCTGGAATGACCCATTTTCCTCAGAATTTCAGAGAGAAATGCACTGTAACCAGCATGTACAACATTTGCTGCCTTCCTTCCTTAAATAATAATTGCCACCTGTTTTTCAAAGAAAGAATGACCTCACTAATAGATCTCCACACTGCTATTATTTTGAACATGCCCCTTTCAATTAGTGATTCAATTACACAGAATCAACAGCATGCATGTCATGACTGTTGGGTCTGTTGGATTTCTATTACTCTACTACACCTGCTAGTAAATTATTTGCCATGTAGAAATATCATTTCTACCAAAAACAGTGATTGACCAGGTTAGTGATGTCTGACTGCTATTATTTTGAACACAACTGTATGTTCCATGTAAATGATACATTCTAGATCACTAGATGTTCTCTAGAGGATAACTCTACTGGCTGACCTGATGACAGCTTGGAAATAAACCGAACTTGACTTTGAGTTTGACGTGGTTTCATTATTTTCCTTAGAGACTGAATTGGGTTGAAATGCTAAGCACTTGTTTATTTTTTCACTTCTAATAAGCACATACCTAGTTTAATTGCATGGGAAATTATAAAATACTGTTCAAGAATCTATTATGACTGTAGTATTCAACATTTTCAGTGATCACTATTTTTATCTAAAGTAGCCACATTATATTCTTTTTTTAAAGTTTTAGAAAAAACATGAAAAATGTTAAAGCTGAAGTTTAGACAAAAAATAGAAAAAAAAATCAGTGAAAGGGACATTACATACTATTAATTTGATGTGTCCCTTATGCTGCTGGCTCCCGGATTGTTGGCAAATTTCTGCTGTGACGGGGTTAATAGAGCCAAGGGAGATCTGACAGGCATTCATCAAGAATGCCCTACTATGCCTACATTTTCCACCCAGCTCTGCCAGCTGTTCACAGCTTCTATAAATAAAGCACAATCTATGAAAGGAGAGGGTGTACTTTTACATAATCCACCCATCCTCCAGATTAGGTTTTGTTAATAGAAGCTGTAGTTATGACTTCTCTGAATGGCAAAGCTGGGTGGAAAGGATGGGCATAGTCGGACACTCTTAATGAGGGATTGGCAGAGTTCCCTCAGTTCTATTAACTCTTGCTGCAGTGGAAGATTATGGCGTGGGGAGAGGCGGGGGCATTAGACAAAGTTTTTTTATTTTTTATTTTGTCTAACCTTAGGCTTTAAAGCTGAACTTCAGGATAAGCAAATATTGTCTGAATACAAGAGACATATCTTAAATTATAGTTAGGAGGGCTTGCAGCATCCAGGGGAAATAGTCAGCAGGGTTCACATTCAGGTCAGGGCTGAGAGGCTCTGCAGAACAATTCTATGGCACCTCCTCCTAATCTAGAGACTTGAAAGAGTCTCTGGAACTCAGTGGTCGGGGGTGAGGAGGAGCTGGTCTGCACTCGAGGGATCCTGACCAATCCACAACAGGAGGCTTGGCATGGGATCAGTACACCTCTTAACAGGGATCAAGCCTTCTCAGTAGAAGGAGAGTTTGGGTGGAAGATGAAGTGAGAGGCTGGAGAGCAGGAGCCTGGGATGGGCCCAGATGTGAAGGGGCTTGCCTACAGGAAGTAGAGCTGGAAAGGAGGAAAGCTCAGGACCTCGTCATCCCCAAGGGGAGCAAGGACAATCTGTGGAGCAGGGAAGGAGCAGCCCAGCAGAAGGCTTGAGAGCAGACACCGACCCATCAGCTCACAGATCATGGATTGAATGAGTAAACCTACACCCCCTGAGCCAGTAAGGAGAAGGAGCATTCTAGTGGGAAACTGGATTAGCTTTCTACCCAGTATCTAGGGTCTGGGGTGTTAGACCAGGAGAGGCTGGCTAGCTCTCCAAGAAGAGGAACTTTGTTTTAAAAAGAGACCTTTACCATAGTTGCAAGAAGGCTGTCCTCAGTTGCCATTCCCTTGGGCATCCCACACACTCCTGGATGCAGTGGAAAGTGCATGTTGCCTGACTGTGCAGGACTATAGGGGGATCCAAATCTTTAGTGACTCCTAAGGGGGTAGGTGCAACACTTACTTGAATCTTGGTGTGCTTTGTGTGTTTTCGGGCATCGTCATTGGCTGAAACGGGATGATTTAACTGCTGCGCATTCACTGGAGTCAGTCATCCAAGCACACAGGGAGCATGCCAGAGATTTAAACTGAGGTGTGCACATGCAGCTGGGTTTACATGCCACAGAAGGCTGCAAGCAGGCAGATAGGTGTATTTTATTGCAGAAGACACATTGCATGTCTCCTCTGCAATAAATAGCCTACTTACGTGCTGTTTGTTATAAAATGCCTTCGGCTCTACATTAACTAATAGTTTTCATGCCTTCAGTTCAATTCCAGCTATTATTGGCTAGTTTTTTTTTATTTTAAAAAAGATGTATTTTCATTACATACTTACAATGCTCTAGCTTGTAGCAACACTCTGTATTCATTGAACAAAAATACAATGTATTCTGTAAATGGTAGCAGTGCCAAGTGAGC